GATTTTTTTTTTTGATTTTTTTTATTATTATTTGTATTTGTTGTTCGTATTTTCTTTTTATTTCAAATTTGGTAAGGAATTTGGATGTAATGCTCAGCCAAATCTTGTTAAATTTATTTTTCTTCATACCGTATCTTTTTTCCGATTTATTTGATTTTGTGTTTTTGATTTTTTTTTTCTTGGTCCGCGTTCGGCCCGAACGGCAGAATGTATCCCCAAGGGGTGCCATACGTTCGGGCATTCGAGTTCGGGAGTTTGGCCCGTCCCGAACGTCGGTTACTATGTATATATATATATATATATATATATATATGATATATATATATATATACATACATATATATATCGTCACAAACAGAACTGCCCGGTAAAACCGTAGGCAGAGAGAGAGAAGAGGACAACAAACGAGGGGCTGTGACAAACTGTTTCGTCGGAGTCTCACCGACTCATTAGGAGGATGAACCCTAGTATACATATATATATATATATATACAGGGTCACCAGCCCGTACGTATGAAGGTCCTCGGGCAGACCTCCGTATGTACGGGCGTTCGGGGTCCCGTACGGGGTCCAAACCCAACGGCGTTCAGACCCCACCAAAAATTAATTCGAGGCCTAAGAATTATTATTGTTTCCTGAATTTTTTTTTGTGAGTTTTCTATGACACGAACTACATGCATGTAAATTTTCAAGTCCTTTGGCCAAGCCCAACAACAATTAAAAATCCCGAAAGATGGCGGTGTCAAACGTGCTCGCCCACGTATTTTTTCACTTTTTACTTTTTGTTTTCATTTTAGTTCAGGGTCTAAACAATTTTATTATTTTTTAAAACTTTTTAAGTGGGTTTTGTATTATGTGAAGTACACATCTGTAAATTTTCAGGGCATTTAACTATGCCAAAAAAAATAAAGAATCGCCAAAGATGGCGGTGTCGAAAACATGCTCGCGCACTCCCTAAATTTAATTCTGTTTTTATTTTTATTTATTTTTGTTATTAGTATTTGTTTTTCGTATTTTATTTTGATTTTAAATTTGGTAAGGAATTCAGATGTAATGCTCAGGTAAATCTTGTTTAATTTATTTTTTTCCATAACATGTCTTTTTTTCAGATTTTTTTGATGACTTTTTTTTTTTTTTTTTTTTTGGGTTCGCTTTCGGCCCGAACGGCCGAACGCATCCCCAAGGGGTCCTATACGTTCGGGCGGTCGGGTTCAAGCGTTTAACCCGTCCCGAACGCCGGTTACCCTGTATATATATATATATATATATACATATATACAGGGTTGCCGATGTTCAGGACGGGCCGAAGGCCCGAACCCGAACGCCCAAACGTATGGGACTCCTTCGGAAGGCGTTCGGCCATTCGCGGACAAAAAAAAAAAAAAAAAAAAAACAAGTTTTCGAAAAATTCCGAAAAAAACATATGTTATGGAGAAAAATACACTTAAGAACATTGGCCTTGGAACTACATCCAAAGTCTTTACCAATTTTGAATTAAAAATCAAATATAGAAAATAAACACCATGATAAAAAGAAGAAAACATAGAAAGAGAATTAAAATGAGTGAGTGTGCCAGCACCTTTTCGACACCGCCATCTTTGCCAATTTTTAAAATCGTCAAAGATGGGGGTGTCGAAACGTGCTCGTCCAGTCACTATTTTGTTTTTTTTTACTTTTAACTTTTTATTTTCACTTTATTCCGGGACCTAAACAATTTTATTATTTTTTGAAAACATTTTAACGAGTTATTGATTAAGTAAACTGCATATCTGAAACTTTTCAGGGCATTTGTCAATGCCAAAAAATAACTAAAAATCGGCAAAGATGGCGGTGTGGAAAAGGTGCTGGCACACTTACTCATTTTAATTCTTTTTTTTTTTTTTTTTTTTATCATAGTGTTTATTTTCTGTATTTGATTTTTAATTCAAATTTGCTAAAGAATTTGGATGTTGTGCCCAGGCAAATGTTTTTAGTTTATTTATCTCCATAACATATGTTTTTTTTGGAAGTTTTTAAAAACTTCCTTTTTTTTTTTTTTTGGTCCGCGTTCGGAGTGAACTGCCGAACGCGTGCCGAAGGGGTCCCGTACATTCGGGCGTTCGGGTTTGGGCGTTCGGCTCGTCCCGAACGCCGGTAACCTTATATCTATATATATATATATGTTTGTGACGAAATATATATAGTTTGATTTTGTTTTTGTTTAGGTAGCTCAGTTGGTATATATATATGACGATATATATATATATATATATACCAACTGAGCTACCTAAACAAAAACAAAATCAAACTATATATATATGTATATATATATATATACAGGATAACGGGCGTCCAAGATGGGCCGAACGCCCGAACCCGAACTCCCGTTCGTATGGGACCCCTTGGGGATGCATTCGGTCGTTCAAGCCGAACGTGGACCAAAAAAACAAAAAAAGAAGAAAACAAAAGTCATCGAAAAAATCTGAAAAAAACGGTATGTTATGGAAAAAAATAAATTAAACAAGATTTGCCTGAGCATTACATCCGAATTCCTTACCAAATTTGAAATAAAAATAAAGTACGGAAAATAAATACTAATAATAAAAATAAATAAAAATAAAAAGAGAATTAAATTAGTGAGTGCGAGAAACGTTTCAAAAAATAATAAAATTGTTTAGACCCCGAACTAAAGTGAAAGCAAAAAGTAAAAAGTGAAAAAAATTGTCGGCGAGCACGTTTTGACACCGCCATCTTTGGCGATTGTTCATTCTTATTTTGCTTAGCCAAATGACCTGAAAATTTACAGGCATGTACATCATGTCATAGAGAACTCACAAAAAAACAATCAGAAAAAAATAATTATGTTTAGGCCCCGAAATATTTTTTGGCGGGGGCCGAATGTCGTCAGGTTTGAACCCCGTATGGGACCCCGAACGCCCGTACGTACGGAGGTCTGCCCGGGGACCTCCGTACGTACGGTCTCATGACCCTGTATATATATATATATATATATACAAGGTTGTCGGTGTTCCGGACGACCCGAATGCCCGAACCCGAACGCCCGAACGTTTTGCACCCCCTCTCGATGCTTTTGGCCGTTCGGGGGGGGAAAAAATATTTGTATAAGAAAACAATATATGTTATGCTTAAGAATAAACAAAACAATATTTGCCGCAACGTTACATCTAGTTTCTATACCAAATTTGAAAAAAAAAAAAATACTAACAATACATAATAATAATAAAAATTAATAAAAATAAAACGAGAATGAAATTAGTGAGTGGACGAGCACGTTTTTTACACCGCTATCTTTGGCGATTTTTCATTGTCTTTTGGCTGGGACAAATGCCATGAAAATTGATATATCTATATTTTACATAATAGAGAATTTACAAATGAAGTTTGAAAAAATAATAATATTTTCCATGAGTGAAATAAAGGAAAACTAAAAAGTGAAAAGAAAAAAATAAATAAATTACTGAGTGGGCAAGCAAGTTTTGACACCACCATCTTTGTCAATTTTTTATTTTTGTTTGGCTAAACAGAATGGCTTCAAAATTTAGAGGAAGATACCTTACATTACAAAAACCTGACAAAAAACAATTCAGAAACGAATAATAATATTTAGGTGTCAAAATATTTTTTTTGCGGGGTCTGAACCCCTTTAGGTTCGGCCCCCGTACGGGGACCCGAACGCCCGAACGTTCGGCGGTCAGCTTAGGGGCATCATTACTTTAGGTCTGGCAACCATGTATATATATATATATATATAGGGTTAGGAGACCGTCGGTATTCGGCACGTGAAACATGTTTGAATTTAATGGGAAATAAATTTGGTGTGTTCTATATGATGTCATGTACATGACTATACATTTTGAAGTCATTTTTGTCTACCAAATAATATAAAAAAATCTCGTAATATGGAGGTGTCAATATGTGGCAGTACTGTGTTTTTTGGCTCTGCGGTTTTTTATTTTTCTGTTTTTTGTTTTGTGTGGTGTTACTTGTATGTTGGCCCAGAGACCGCAGAGTTTTGAACCGTCGACTGTTTCCAGTAGATCTATTTGCTTGTTTTTGACCCACTTTCTGCATTTGTGAACCATGTAGATCGTACTAGGGGCTAGGTGGTACTAGCTAATGGTAACCCGAACTAAGTACCCCCGGTGTGGGACTAGTTACCGGACCGCACGTTTTTCCAATTCTACCGTGCGCAGGACTATATAGTGTGTGAGCAAGATGTTGACCTCCTCTTACGGTGTGCCTGCTACCGCTCGCGGTAGGGGTACGGAGGTCGTGGAATGCTTGGAGTCTTGGGTGTGCGGATGTACTAAACTCCTTACTTTTCGAGCGTGTGGTTACCGTAAATTTCGAGGTTGTGTTTTTTTCTCACACCTGTCTTGTCTCTAGCTCACCTGAGTGTTACTCACCTGAGTTTTGTATGACGTGACTCTTTCCTTACCTCTGATACTTTTTATTGCGTGTGTGAACGACCTTGGAGTTAACCCGCCGAGGCAAGTGAGCACGTTTTCTAGTATCCAACCTTTCCAGTCACAGACGTAGACTACGACGGCGGCGATCGGCAACGATTTCGAGGCATATTAGTATTGAGTTAGCAGGCGACGTTTTTTTAGATGGCGGGATACGGGGACTGCCGTGAGCAGGGCGGTAACTATTACGACCATGGGAGGAGTAGCTGCGATCGGTACAGCGGCGATCGCGACCACAGAGAGAGACAGCGCGGTTATGGGAGCGACCGACGGTACGGTAGTGTGATCGCGCACAAGGCAGTGACAGAGCATGCGATCGCTACCATGATCGCGGACCCCGTAGAGGTCCTCTTACGTGTTTCAACTACAGGGAATCATGGCACTATGTTTATCAGTGTCCGCACCCGCGTAGGAACACTTACTCCAGTAAGGGAGCAACTGGAGATTCCCGAGAGACCAGCTCACCTGGTCGGTCTGAGCGAGCTAGGCTGACGCAACACAGTGATGTTCTCGAGTCTAAGGTTGAAGAAATCGGGACGAGTGTTGCTGTTGTCTGCCAGTACGTGGAGATCGAACAGCAGAAGAAGGCTGCGAAAGAGCGACGGCGAGCCGAGAAGCTTGAAGCGGGGGAAAGAGCAGCGGCGGAGCGTGCGGAGTCAGAACTCAAGAAGGCGCACAGGGCCGAGAAAGCCCGCAAGGAGACCGAGCGGAAGGAGGAGATTCACAAGTGTTTTGACATCAAGATGGCGCTACGGGTTGGCGAGTTGCGTGATGAAGTTCGTGATGATATACGATAGGAGATTCGAGAGGCCATTGGCGAGATATGCACGGTGGTTGCTAGGGGTAAACAAAAGTCTCCTCACACGAAGCCTCGTAGGAGAGCAGTGCTAGCAGCAGTGAGACGGAGGAGATCAACCTGCGTACACGTAGCCTGAGTTTGACCGACAAGAGGAATAGAGGGCCTGAGGTGGTGATTGAGGACAACCCACCTATGGAGCTACCACCTAAGCGCACGCCCCGGCGTAGGACGGGCAGAGTCACACGCTCCAAGAATTTGATGACGAAGACCCCGACTCCGAAGAAGACCCCACCTACGATACGAAAGAAAACACCAGCGGCCATCGGTTTGGTCGGACAACCGCGCTTTGAGAAGAAGGTGTTGAGCGACCTCAAGTGTCTGGATGCACTTATACTGCAAAATATTTGTAAGGACGAGGGCATTCCTTACAATGGTAAGTTTGAGTCAATTTTTGATATTGCGGCGCACCGTACACACGTCACTTACGGACCTGATGACGATGACGATGTGGCACCGTTTGATGCTGACGTGGGAGATCCTGCTGAGGAGGCGAAGCAAGATACCCCCGAATGAGGAGGGTTCAGTATTGCCGATTTGTGGCACATGGTGAACTATCTTACCCGGATTCGCAGTCTGATTGACAGAGTTGATAGTAGGATCGAAGAATTGTTACGCCTTGCGATTGTTAATCTTTCACTACTTGGTGTTTTACGTTGGACTCACAAGTGTGTTGAGGCATTGATACGTTTGTTTGATCTGTTTGGTACGGAACTTGTTAATCTCACCTATAGTATATGTGGTTGTATCACCTTATTGCAAATCACAGTACGTTGCCAAGTCGTCACGCCATCTCGATGTTAGGTAGCGTGAGCACAGATACGTGAGTCGAGCCCAATCTCCTAACCACTTCTATCGATGGCTCGAATGTTTCGGGGTGGAGAGTTATGTTCTTATACCGGTTGATACAATTATCAATGACAAACTGACTAAATTGGAGAACATCTATATCCGTCAGTGGTCGCCTTACCTCAATACCGCGGGGATAAAACCTCGGAAGTGCCGGGAAGGACGATCGATCGGTAAGAATGAGCGACTGCGCAAACATGGGTCAGCTCATGCTGACCAACGTGTTATAGTGCCTATATGTTTCCATTTTTGTTCCTCTGATACCTGGCGCCTCGACCTGTTCAATATTTTGAAGGAACGCGAGTCTCTGGGTGATAGGAACTTTAAGTTATATATACAAGTGGTGGTAATACTTGGCAATCTGCATGGAAGTTGATTTCGAAGAAGTTCGGTAATACCAAGTTGTCTCGCGGCAACGAGTCGGGCCTGCTTAAACACTGTAAAGCATGGTTTGAGGAGGGTGGTTCTATTGTAGTAAAATACGCTGTTGCATGGAAGCCACAGTGTAACTACCTGAAGCATCTTTTGATTTCAGTTCTTAAAAACCCGGGTTATGTTAGTAAGTTCTATCATCGGGATATGCGTTCTATGCTTAGGCTGTATAACACCATTAAGGATTTTTTGAGGAAATCCACGAGGAAATATCTCCGAAGGATTGTTTCGCGTTGTCGTGCGCATCGGTCCCGCACGGGAACCCTCCCGGCCGCATCACGCAGGATTTGGCAGGACTTTGTCGCAGAGGGTCTTAGCCGCTCCGGCCGAGTGCGTTAGCCGTACCTCTCGCGAGCCCCTACGACAGGACAGGGTTACGCGAGGCACCGCTGACCTCCACCTGCAGGAGCTGCACCATCCCTTAGGTGGGCGTATCCCTGTCGAGCTACTGAACCATATGCGGAAGCTTTTCGTATGCAATTGCAGAGGTGGCCCAACCGAGGGCGTTTCTCGTTCGCTGTAGCATAGGGGGTTACGCGTGGCCGAACGCCCGAAAAATCGAACCCGCACGCGAATCGACGTATTGGTGGGCTGAGGTCCCAAACGCGACTCGGCGCCGGTCGACTAGGACGCATCGCACACACCACGCGTTACACCACAACACTCACATTTAACCACACATAACACATGGAAAAACACAAAACAAACACAACATCACAACACTCCTAGTCCCTTCAGTATCCGACCCATAACTTCATGCCGCGAGAATCAGGTAGGTACCACGCGCTGAACTTTCGTATAAGAGTCGTGCGCGCGCATGACCTCCTCATATCGACCAGCCAGGCGGGCATTCGCAAGCACTTGCGCTGATGGGGTACTATGTGGTACTCGTAGCCTCGCGACCCTTGATAATCTCGAGGGTCGCGTTCGACATTCAAGTGTTGGCTGACAGGCGCTTTGAGGGTTAATCTCTCGACGCCAGACAACCGCTATATGCGGTTGAAGACCACACCCACTTCTGCACCCTTTGCAGAGGGGTTGAGTAGACAACTTTAGGGCTGTCATGGTGGCCAAAATCAAGGGGTTTGACTTTGACGGTGACCACAGACTACAACGTCCAACCATGAAGACTTTAAGGAGGAAACAACTGCAGATAGTCTGATAGTCGTTTCACAAGGAAGGGGTAGGCCAACGCGAAAGGCGCGCACGGGTAAGGCCCAAAATCAGGCCCATAGGCCGCCCGACGTTCGAGATGTTGGAGACTCGTACGAGGGGCTCCATAGGCGGATTTGGGATGATTCCCCGCCTACGCGTCGCTTCGCGCAGCCGATGCTCGGCCATACTCGCCATAACCTGCTTTTGCTTTCTCCGCTTGACCCATAACTTTAGAGCGCGGAAATCGGTAAGTGCTGCGCGTGTGGTTTACTATAAAGCCGCGCGGACGCAGGACCTACGCATACCGACCAACAATGCGGATTTGCACATGCAGTCGTGATGTCGGCGCACAATGTGATGCCCATACCCGAGTGGCCTCGTTTGAGCCATTGGGTCGCTCTCGACGCTCAGGAGTCGGCTAATGCGCACGCTAAGGGGGGTAAACCTTTAGCGAGCGCAAAACCGGCCTGAGGGTCTTACCATCTTCTGCACCCTGAGATGCCCCAAAGGGTGCGAGGTAAGATGGTCCCTAGGATAGGAAGGAGTTCGGAGCGGTGGTGAGTTGTCTGGTGCACCACCAGCGACACGCTAATCCTTCCGCCCGGAACTTTATCGTTCCACAAAAATAATTTCAAAACAAGGAAAAAGAAAGAGCGAGTACTTGACGCTGGCAGGTGACAACCCGATTACCCGTGTGTACGCCCACTTTGACTATCACTTTATCAGGATGGGAAAAGACAATCTCACTCAAACAAAAAGTTGTGGGGTAGTTCACTCTCACGACAGTTGTGTGGTTTGCTCATTTGAACTCTAAACATAATCATTCACCACATATTTAATCGAGTTCCTCCCATACATACTTGCATTCATCCGACATTCAAACAACATCATACACACTAAAAGGGTCAACTTTTCAGCCTTCTTCTTCTCACACCCTGCCTTATACCCTCAAGTCCAACCATTTCCCGACCCAACCTCAGCAAAAGTACTCAGTCTTTCCGAAATGGCCATTTATAAAAAAACTTGGTGAAAACCCAAAGAAATACATAAATCCTGGCAGGGTCAAGGCCTTAGGTTGAGAGGTAGGAAAAATAGGAAAGTTGAGTCGTAAACCGACGAATCGGCAACCGACCTGTTATCAGTGATAACAGACAAGTGATCCCTTCGTAGAATCAGACCGAACAATTCGAGCCTTCAATCGGATGTGAAAACCTGCATCACAATATAGGTCAAAGAGAACCACTACTATGTTCAACCCAAGTAGAGGATAGTTCCCCCATTCGTACCCTAGCTCCTCTATCAGTCTCACGTTCAGCTTCTCTCACTAACGCGAAGTCACTGAGAAAATTTGACAGCATCTCCCCTATCCAGGGTGGATTTGTCAAGTCTCTCTTAGCTAAAGTATAATCTAACTCCCTAAATTCTGTGAAGTTTTTCGGCAGCGTTTCCCGTAGGTAAAGTACCTTTCCAGAATTTCTACGAATCCAAAAATGAATAACTCTTTCAGATTTGTAAAAATTTCGGCAGCGCTTCCCGTAGGAACAGGAGGTTGCCAAGATTTATATAAAGCTGAAACTGAAAAGAGAAGGCATAACTATAGTTGGGACTAACTTCTGACACTTACTTGGAAGGGAGAATCAACGATAATCGGTACGACCTCTTGATGAGGCTGTGCGATAACACTGATCCTAACTCCCAATAGAGTCAGTCATATCTTATCACAAGCTTTCCCTCCCATCATCCATCCTACCTGCCTATAGCTGCAACACTCGACGAACACCCAAAGCAACTAAACTATCAAAGAGATGCCCCAGAGTGAGAGCCCATAAGCATGCATAACCAAACGTCTCTCACAATCTCATATTAATTTAGTCCAAGTAGTTCGTTAAATCGCTTAGTTCCTTCCCTTTTACATCCCCCTTTCCTATGGCATACGGTCAGACAAGGCCTTAACCCTAGGGTATAACTGACCTGCCTGGGTACACAAGTAAAGTACGCACATTTGGACTGCCCTAACCCTAGGGTATGTCCAACATAACATGAACTGTACAAATAAGGCATATGACCAGTCCGCCCTAACCCTAGGGTACGTCTAACTTCTGCCTAACTGACGACAAAGAGCATAGAACTGGGCTGCTCTAACCCTAGGGTGTGCCCAATCTGCTTTAAACAAAGTTACATATGGCATCATTTTAGACCATCCCTACCCAGGGGTAGGTCTAGCTTGCCTGAACATAAGTACAAACGACAAAAAGTTGGACCGCCCTAACTCTAGGGTACGTCCAACCCACAGCACGTCTACGACAAAAGCATATCACTAGGCCGCCCTAACCCTAGGGTAC